CCCTTCTTCTTGATCAGGTGCGGTATCGGTGTCGGTACGGCGCTACGTTTGATAACGAGCGATCGAGCCAGCAGACGGACTATGACTCGGATTGAGGAACAATTGTGGTGCGTGCGGCGCGACGAATGGCTTGTGGATAGGCGATGGGGATTTCGGCATGAGTACACGGACGGACACTTGTCTGGGCGTTGGGGTGCGGTGTGTTGAAGACCGTCTTTAGATTACACTTGGCTTCTTGACCTGTTATTCAATATCCTTATGAACACGAACTTCTCAGTCTCCATAATCACTATGCTTTGTTTGACAAGTTCAAGGTGAACAGATGTTGGGTTTTATGTTGTTCATTGCTTCATGTAATGATGGATGATGGATGATGTCTTCGTTACCGTCTAACGACAATTCTCCACCCATGATCATATGTAAGCCTTGATTTCCATGCCGACTAACAAGGAAGACGTCGCAGCAACACCGTATCGCCGCCCGCCATTCCTTCGTCAACGTGGTATCCAGAGAGTCTCTGACCGTGCCTTCGTCACAATCCAACGTCCCCAACACCCAAGCCATGTTCGTTACTCATTGCCTAGCGTTCGCACTCGAATATCAGGTCAGTTCAGGTCGTGTTAGACAAATTCGCAATGGCAGCTTACTCGTTGCCCCAACCCCTGTCGATAGCCCACTGCCATCCACCCCAACCATCATGATCACGCGGACGGACCCTGAACGGCTCATCCTCACGCGCAGCAGGGCATGCCCAAGTGTCACCCAAACCGATGCCGTAGTACTTGAGGCCATACCTAGTACCGTCGTTCTGACCGGGAGTAAGAGGGCGCGCGTCGGACGGCATCTCAGGCAGATCGAGGTCGAAGAGGTCGGGAAGGATACCCAGGAGGCACTCCATCTCAGCGTCAGTCTCGTGGATGTCAGCATAAGTGGGGGCATGGTGGTTCTCGAAGATGTCGAACGGCGGAGTGGCAGAGGGAGCGGGAGCCGGGAAAGTGAAGGCGAAAGGGTGGGAGGGCTCTCCAAACTGCTGCATGTAGTGAGCCATCGAAGAAGGTTCTGGTGGGGACCATCGTACTACGGGCGCAGGGTTCTCCACTGCTGGGACATGGCGAGGAAAGCCGCTGCGTCTCTGTTGGTTGTTAGGCTTCTGTGCATGCATTTCTGCGGGAGTGGGCCAGACTACAGTGTTCTCTGCACGGAACGGTCGCTCGGGAAGCGGCGCCGGCATGAAGCCTTGGAACCTCTCTGTAGGCTCTGCTTGGTAGGACGGGCGGCGCGGCATGAAGTTCGCATCGTCGGGGTAGATGTCGGCGTGCGAAGGCTCGGGACCTTGATCAGTGCGCTTGGTACGGGTCAGCGCTCGTGGACGTGGGCGGTAATCTCCTGGACTAGAAAGATCAGGTACGTGATCACGGCGTGACGGCCAGACGGGGTTCTGGAGGTTGCTGAAGCGACGAGGCTGTCCGAAGCCCGCAGGACCTGTAGGTACTTGCTGTAGTGGTGACTGCATGACCGCTGGGCTGATCGAGCTACGCTCCTCCGCGAAGATCCTACGAGGACGTTCGCCCATGAAGCCAGGAGGCGCGGGAACAACTTTGGTAGACTGGCGTTCTTCATCTGCGCGCTCTGGATAGCGATCTTGAATGTAGCTCTTGCGACGTAGAGGTGTCTTAGCGGCGTCGTCCTTGTCCTTGCCGCTGAGGTATTGGGCTAGGTCATTCGCGGTTAACGGCTTGTCCAGCGCTCGTCCTATGAGCTTACCCAAGACGCCTTCTGAAAGGCCTTCAGAGCCGTGAGACTGGAGGAAGCGTGCTGAGGAGTCGACGTTAGTCGTCTCGTTCTTGATACCAGGGAGATCGAGGCCCGCACTCAGCTCTCCGACGTCTGGCGCCTTGGAGTCGGGGTTAAGTCGCTGACCAGGGAGGAGACCACGCGGAATGTTGATAGAGGTTCCTGTGAGGTTACTGCGAGAGATTGCACCGGGGCGTTCACGGTTCAAAGTGATGTGGTGGTCTAGATAAGTCAGCTTTCGATCATCGCATTGTGATATGGTTGACGTTACCTTGAAACATCTCCTGCAGAGAATCCAATGGCATGTCCTGCTGCTTGAGTGGCTTCCGCGAGGACTCTCCGAACTTGAGCTCTTCGTAGCCCTGGTAGTTAGGTCGCAGATCCCTAGAAGGCCGGAAAGGCGAGTCTTTGACAATCCAGTCAGTCTTGCTAGAGGTGCTCGCGGGAGAGAAGACTTACCATCGAACACGTCTCCCATCTTCGGTTTCTGTCGCGGGCTGGTAGGCGGAGTCGGACCTGCAATTCCGGCAGACATGCTGGTCTCGGCTGCCGTTGGACTGAAAGTTGGTGCTTCTGGGTTGAACGAGACAGACCTTCGCGAGGCTCTCGGCTGCTTCTGCTCCATGTTGTGTCTTTGGTACAGAAATATTGTCAAAAGAGAGCGTCTTATATGAGCGTGAGATGGCGATGCTTGGGCATAAATGCTTGAGCCCAGATACGACAGTGAATGCTGCGGTGACTTGCGATTTCGATCGTCCGTCACCTTCGTTTACAGCGAGTCCGTCGGCAGAACCAGCCTGGAGTGTCGCAGTGAATAGCGATTTACACGTAACAATAGGTTCGTAACGAGCGACTGAGTTAAGACTGTCGTAGATATTCGAGCATAGCTGGAGAGGAAATGAGTGTAGATGGTGTCGTTAGATTGACCAGGCGAGGCTGGCTTGGACTGAGCTCATAATTTCTACATCAAGCTGTGCAAGTGAAGGTGAGTATAGAGCGCCACATAGTGTGGCTTGCCAGGCTGCCTAGGTAGCGCCTGATGCGAAGGTGAAGGTACACACCCTGCGCCATCGCGTTGATCATGGTCGAGGATGTGGTTTGGGTAGCAAAACATGCCTTTGACGTCTTGGGCATATGCGAAGTGCTCTAGCATCGGCTCCCGCGCTTTTTATGAGGTTTGACGCCCCCACGAAGCCAGTCAGCGTGTGGGTGATCGTAGACTAAACAGCGCACGGACGGTCTCGATGACTGCTCGCGTGAGACTTCTAGGCCAGCACACCAATCACAAGCGAGCACGATGACGCCCTGACGCGCCTCATTGAATAGGCTGGAGTGCAACCTATGTTTAAAACCCTCGCACAACACGCCCCTTTGCGCCTGCTACATTGAAAGTCAGAGCTTCTAATTTTTTTGTTCAGGTTCACAGCCCCCAGCTCCCATTACGACCTGCCTCGCTAATCTGTGGTAAACCACAGCACGCGACCCCATCTTTACCCACCACAATAATGCACACTAGCTTCACCAGCATAAATCAACAAATACACCAGCCAGACCATCATACTCACCATGCCGATGATGTTCACCCCAGACGACACGTTGCTATTCTCACCTAGCAAGAAACAGCCGTTTGCTCACTCACCTTATGGTCACGAGATACGGACTGCGACTCGATGTCACCATGGACTCCACCCCTCCAATCCACAACATACACCGTGGTGTTCCAAATGCACAGTTTCGCAGGCTAGAGCAAAGTCCGACGTTGCACTCAAGAAGCTGGTAGCCGAAGGCGGATTGAGACCTCCAGTGTACATGCGCGACCGACGGTGGAACAGGGCAAGAAACGGGTACCTGATAGCGAAGCAGCGACTCGAGAAGACACGCAAAGAGGAGCAGCTGCGCTGGGAGCGCGAGCGAGCGTGGGACGACGCTCACAGCCAGTTCAACCCCAACAACATCCAGGCAGCAGTCTTACCCAACAAATCACCCTCGTTGTGCCCCGTCTGTAACTCCTTGGTATCATCTTACCCCACAACTATGCCTGAGGCGCAACCCACAAAGTACGAGGCTTGGTGGGAGAAACCAAGCGCTCTTGCCACCTCGCACATACTCGTGCGCCAGACACCACCACGTTCGCGCAACCAACATCCTGTATCCACGCAAACACAGAGAGGCAATCCCATACTGCGCCAGATAATCGCAGACAAGCGCAAAGAGCTGCACTCGGACGCCAACTTGCGACGAGCCTGGGAAGCCCGAGACAAGACCGAGGCGGCGCTCCGTCGCAAGCACGGCTTGGGCGACATGCCCATCAACAAAGACTTCTGGGACTACCCAATCTCCGGATACTTCAGTCGCCTTACCCATCAGAACAACAGAGAAATGGTACGTTCGGCGGAACGGCGCGCGCGCGGTAACACAGTGCGTCCCAGACCACCGCGCAGCTCACTGTCTTACTCAGAGACGACGGACGATGTGGAAGTCGAACCGGGCTTTGAAGAGACACTGAAAGAGAAGGAAGAGCGCGAGGAATGGGAGCGACAAGTCCGGAAAGTCGCAGGCGAAGTTGGATACCTTTATTTCGTCGGCGGTGGGAACAACCTTTTGGAAACGTGGGAAGAAGATTACGAACGGAGTGCCGATTATCTTGTTACGAGGATCGAAAATCCTGTAGCGGAGACGGCGAATGATGGCGATGGCGATGTCCAGGATGGGAGTGAGACGACGGATGGGGATGCCAATGAGGAGGATTGGGGGGATGAAATGGATGTCGATGACGCTTAGGAGGGTGATGATGCATTTTGTCATATCAACAGCGCTTAGATTGCTAGTTGAGTCGTTGTATAAGAGATACACAGTGTACGGTTATATTAATGATTGAGTGGTTCAGACGCCTCCATAGACATACGGTTGACTTGCTGTGTGAACGAGTGTCGTGCAGGGGATGTCATTGCTCGTGGGGTTTCTGTGGATCGACCTTGTGGCGCTTCTGGAATGTGTCGTGTGGGTATAGATGACATCGAGGCATGGGTTGAACGGACGGTGCACAAAGCGTTGACGACGCCAACGCGCGTGTGAAAAGCTTGTCCAACGCTAACCGATCTAGGTGCACGGAAATGTCGATCGACAGCATGTGCTAAATCACGGAATGTTTTTCAAAAATTCTACTTTCCATGATACATTATAGCCCCTTCATGTAAGCCGCATGTCTACAAAGAAGTTCGAGTCCCCTCACCTGCTACCCGTATATCATCAGTGTGACCAGGTAGCTCGTGTACCAGATTACTATCCTGAACTTCCGCAACGCCTACTTCACCTGAGCCCTTCAATTCGCGTGCATTCTCCACTGTCTCGAGTTCAGATGTCTCCATGACCATAGCTTCCTGTGTGCCTGAAGCGGCATCCAATTCAGCCCTCTCTTTCTCCATAGCTTCAACCCAGGGCTTGTGGTCGCCATGCAATTCTGATTTGGTGTAGTGATCCTTTTCCGGTGCGGTTTTGCGTCGAAAGGGGCCTAAGCGCTTCTTCCAAGCTATGATTGAACACAAGGCCAAGAGTGCTAGAATACCCGCGCCTACACCGATACCAGCATATGCGGCTGTAGAAAGGCCTTTAGACTTGTTTGATGGCGGAGATGGAGGAGGAGCCGGTGCTGGGGTTTCCTCGGATGGGGAAGATATAGGTATGATTTGTGCGGCGCCACCATCAGGATAGGCTTGATTCAAGCTGAAGTTTAAGCGTTCGTAGTCTACAGTGACATATGTCTCTTGTAGAAATGTTCGACCGAGCATATTGCGTGCAGAAGCAGAAGCTCGCTTCAGCGGGAAGTAGTACGTGGTACTATTGACGAACGGGAAAGTGAGCCTAAGATTGAAAGCCGAATACGGAAACGTATAGTTTACTGATATCTCTCCCGAGACGAGTGTGAATTGTACCACAGGGTTTTCAGCCAACAGCCGTCCACGCATGGTATCGTTAACAAGATACAGCTTCAACGAGTCGTCCCAGATCAAGCCGAAAGCTTTCTCGAAGAGTGCACAGGCTTCTTCTGGTAGCCATAGTTGTGGGACCGTAGAATCGATTTCAAAATCGGCCGAAGATGATGCTAGATCTGAGCGGGGCGTCCATACCGAGGAGGCGTTAGAAATACTGATGGCGCTCACAGATACTACAAGTGAGTTGTTAAATCGATTTGGCATAGACCAAGACAAAGTAGTCGTAGGATCAAATCTCGAAGTGTCGTAACCACCCAGTACCAGACTGCCTAACGAGTTGCCTACGAGACGGGTCAATTGAAACCATATAGGTCTGAATGCTGACTGTACGTACGGTTCGCAGACCCTGCGGTATATCCGAAACTTCGACTAGGAATGACTGTCGTGTTCCGAAGCAAGTCAATGGAATTCAGTCGTAGTGCGCCTGGAGGCCCAGTAGCTCCTCCAGCAAGACCGAATGTCCCGATTTGAAATCTCTTTTCAGTGGTCAAGACAATATACGCTGAGGTAATATTGCGATCTTTCGCAGTCCTTCCGAGATATGTGTGGTCAAGGCCCCAAAGTGTCTGGCTTATGTTGCTTTCTTCACCGCTGTAGCCACTGATGTACTGATTGATTTCGGGAAGGTTAAACAGCCCTGCGTTTAGCCAGGTTGCTGATATGTTACCGTCAAAGATAGCCATCTGTTCTGCGCACGTAGCATTGCACCAGTCACTCTTCGTAGGTAGAATGACAACTGCAGATGAGGTTCCAGGGATGCACCGGAAAGGCTGTACTGGGTCACCGACAGCGAGGTTAAAGGTCGACCACGGACCGTCTGCGCCGTCCCTACTCTGTACTTAGTGGAGATCATAGCTCATAATTGTCGCGATTTACCAGTCCCCACTGGGAGCGACAACAAGCGGCGTCCCAGAACTTGCCTGCCCCAAGCAACATCTCAACCAAACAGATGCGTACCACACATATAGAAAGACTCGGGAGCTGGAAGACATTACGTTTGGAAGAATACACGGTAGAAGGGTTGTGCTGAGACAGACGTTGGGTGTGCGCGGGGCTGGGCGACTGCTTACGCTTTATACAGTGTGGCAATAAGCTTATATACGCCAAGCAGCCACAATATTTCATCCAGTAGTAGCATTGGTCCACACCAGCTGATAAGCAGGAGTGAGTACTCAGCCTTGTCGGGCCGCATGTATGCAACAAAAGCTGTAAATAGGAAGTAATGCTGAGAAAGGTCATATATCCATTCTCCAGATAAAAGGGTATACAGACTCACAAAAACAACCCCTCACAACTCCCTCCTCTTCCTCGCCTCCTCATCCCCCTCCGCAACCTCACCCGTCCTCTTCAAATCCACAAACTCGCCCTCCTCCTCAAGTGCATCAACATTACCCTTCTCCTTCGCCTTCCGTAGTTCCTCCGCCTCTTTCCTATCAGCTTCCTTCTGCATCTGCTCATCTACCTCTTGTCTCTCTACAATCTCTGCTTCTTCACCGACCTCGCCCGTCAACGGTCCCTCGCTCTCTTCGTACCAGTCCGTCGACTCTGTCCACTCGATGATCTTCTCCTTGGCTGTCTCGCTGAGGGTGTAGTAGCCGGGGTTGTTGCGAGGCTCGAACATGGAGGTGTGGGCCCAGGTTTCTGCTGTAGCTTTGTCGTTCACGGCGGGCATGAAGAAGTCCTTCAAAGGACCTTTGGGTAGGTTGCAGAAGGTGCGATCTTTGCCCGCCACTTTGCCTGTCCAACCGTGTTCCTTGTTCTCGCTGTTAACGGCGTGGCCGAGAGTAGTGTGCATGTTGCAAAAGCCAAGATCGTGGCTCGTGGTGAGCTTTGCAATCTTCTCGAGTCGCTTCCGCATCTCTTCGGGGCGGGCTAGGACTCCGACGAATTCTAGATGTGATGTAGCCCATGACACGCCTTGAGTTATCTGGTCTTTCTTCATGTAGGCCGCAGCACCCCCTGCTGCTATTGCGCCCGCTGCACCAGCAAACATGGCTACCTTTCCGTAGCGTTGCCACAGCGGTGCCGATGCTGCGTCGCCAGTAGACGAGGGCGCTGGCAGCATCTTGCTCGTATCGACGGCACCAGCCGCTGTGTCCTTGCCGCCCCATCCAAACGCGCCTGCGAGGTTGTTATACGCCGAGTATGCCGAGCTCGCAGTATTCCAATGCTTCTCCGCGCCATGCGCTACTACGCCAGGCGCTATACCGAGGTATGGTGTATCGAAAGCGAGAATGCCTTGTATGTACGGGAACATGAGCGCCGAATGGTCGGCAAGCGAACCCGTAGAGCCAGTCTGCGAGTTGGACTGCGAATGAATCGGCTGTTCAGCGAGGATGGAGAGAAGCGTCTCAGCCGCGACGATGCCGCCCATAGAATGGCCGACGAGAATCGTGCGCACGGAAGGGTCGACGGTGGGCGAGGGGGTTGAATTGGCGACCTCGAGGTCTATGACTTTGTTCTGTAGCCATTCTTTGAAGCGGCCGACACACTCGTGCAAGTCGCCTCGCGTCTCGAACTGGGGGTACGTGATGGTCAGGACGGTAACTTTGGGCAGCGCATGCTGGAGGAGCGCCTTCACGTGGCTCGGGAAGGTTCTGAATGTTTCATCTCCACCCTATAGCACGTGTCAGTATCGTTCTCGCATTTGTTCGCATCGCATCGGGCGTCGCATTGCACATGGCTGGGCCTGAGACATGGAGATGCGACCCCGGCGATGACGTAATGGGGGTATCGCGTAAAGGCTACGTACCTTGAAGCCGTGGATGAAGCACAGCAATAACGTCTTCCTCATGATCCTCTGCTATGCTCCTGTGCGCCTGCATGGTGGGGCTGGGTTAGTGGAGGGCTGACGATAAGTCGACTGGGCGGGAAGGCGATTACGTCTGGGGTGCAGCTACGCTCGCTTACCTGGCAGGGGGCTGTTGGCCGGAAGGGTCGATTGCCGGAGAGCAGCACGACGGCATGAGAGTAATTTGATAAGGTTGGATAAATGCGCAGGCAGGGAGAATCACATGCAGGTGATTGAGAGAGTGAGGTATTCATGTGCTTTGATTCATCGTTTCACGCAAGCTTTCGCTGCTGCGACTGCTCTTAATTGTGTCCACATATGCTACATGACTACTTCGTGACACATGGTCTCTCTGACACTCCCGGCTGTCGTGACTCTTCTCTGCCAATCCATCAATGCGGGTATAGTACAAACAATGCAAACTCCAACGCCATATCGTGAGCCTCTTCGGCAATGCATAAACATAAGAAAGGTGTAGACACGGTGCTACCAACTGCTCGTGAGCAGCACGATGGCTACTGCAGATAGACTTGCTATCGACAGATCCGAAGCCTTGAGCTGCCATGATGCGCCTACCGCAACGACGTCAAACGGTGAGCCACCGCCCGAGTCAGTATTTGACAGCTGGGCATTCGGTGCTTGTGTGGGATCCGCCGCCTGCGCAGTGTCTGTGGGTGGTGCGACAGAAGTCGTGAACGCTCCAGTGGCATTCGGATCCAGCGTCAAGCCCCCTGTTGACGAGCTCGTAGTTGTCGGTTGCGCTGAACTGGTCGGTTCGTCATCATCCCCATCGTCCGAATCCGCAGTTGAACTTGACGGAGTTGACGTCGCTTCGATTGCTGAGTTTGTGAAACTTGTAGACGTTAAGGCCGCCTGAGTGCTTGTTGCTTGCTCTGATGTCTTGGTGCTCGTCTTTTGGGCAGTCTCGCTTGAGGTCGTTACGATAGTTACTCCTGGGCATAGACTCTGGATACCCAGTCCGTTCTGGAAGACGCCGATGATGCTCAACTCGCCCGCATCGACGTCCGCACACTTATCCTTCACCTCCTCGGCGAGCGCTGAAAGACCCCGCAGGCAGGATGCGGTACATGTGGCGCCCGACTTGAAGTCGTCGGCTGAGCAACCCGAGATGGCGGAGTTGTAAACGGTGTTGCAAGAAGTTGGGAGGTTTTGGATCCGCGGAATGAAGGCCGAGAGCGAAACTGTTGTCGCTGAGGATATCGACGCAAGCGTGAGCGCCACCAAGGCTGAACGTATTGAGGCGGGTAGCATCGTGAGTGTTGTGAAGGTTTTCGTGAATTGGGGTCGGCAGACCCGTAGGTCTCGAATGGAGAAAGGGCCGTGACCCAGAGTTCCGAGTGCCAATCTCGAACTTCGATCACGAAGCCTGGATGTCCTGGTGGAAAGATGTCTTCCGGAGGTGGTGAGACGACTTGCGTTTGAACACGCGGTATGACGTTTTCAAGACAGCGGGTTTGTTTGCGTCGTGTGAAATTTCGAGTGCTGCCGCCTGCCGACTGCACTGGGCTTCTTGCTGTGATGTCCCGGTGACTGCGCGTTGCCGTGGACAACCGAATTCCAGATCTCTTGCTGTCAACCTTCTGGAGAGACGGTGATGCGCCCCACTTCTCACGTATGGGGATGTCGACAGAACTGTTTCGACACAATGGTGTAACGGCAATGCGCGGATATACCAAAGATCGCCTTGTCTATACAGAACTATGCAGAAAAGCTGCAATAAAGAACGTGAATGACGCAACACGCAAACGAGGGAACGACTGTTGTTTCTTCCTGGCACCGGGCCTGCAAAAGAGCGAATGTACTTCCGAAACGAACTGTTGGGGAACAAAGACGCACAGCGTTAAGAAAGAAAACAGTTTGCAGAAGAAAGGAAAGGAGAAGGGAGGAGAGCCGCGATCTTCGTGATATTCAGTCGCTCAACAACCAAACTCAGGCAGCGTTGGGACCAGGCGGCGGGACCCGCCACATCTTAAGGTAGATCTACAAGGACACCCGTCCTATCCGCACACAGAAGATCCTTACCTTGCCTTTGCCTCATCATAGCTCAAGTGGGTAGCCACGAGACGGGCAGTCCTTGTACAGCTATCTGAGTGTCGCAAGTGGCCGTTATTCAGTTCTCTGAAACAACGGGGTTGCCTGTGGTTAGTGTCGCTGCGGCGTTGCAGCCGCCCATTGGCTGGGCGAGCCAGCGCAGGCGTTACATGTCGCGACCGCGCTTCAGATGCAGGTACCCGGAGCTGGACAGGAGATGTGTGAGAGGTGTGTGTCGCGCGTGTACTTAATTGAGCTGCCTCGGCGGCTGCGTATGGACTGGCGGGCGAGGCGCAAACCACAATCGCCCGAGATGAGACGGTTATGGCGCCTGCGTGGCTGTGGCGCGTGGATGCGTTCGCACGTGGAGCCCAAGAGCCTAGAAGAGAGAAACCATCGAGATGCGGACTTGGCTTTCTTGGAGTGTACGTATGACGGGTTTGACGTGTGTGTGATGGTTATAGATGCGAGCTGCGTCTACCCTGATGGCCGCTGTTCGCGCTTTAACTTCCTCGCCGCCGCTTCCTTGCACGCAAACCTCCATCATCCCAGTACAACCACGAGCCCATATGCGGGGCTTTATATCGCAAGACCTTTCGCATGATGGCAATTGTTTCATTGTTTCAATCGTCTCCTCAGCTATAGTTCCTGACGTTTTTCTATAGTTTCCATTTCCGCGCTGACCGCGTGCAGCATCCTTGCCATGCGCGGAGCTCCTTGAACTTCCTACTCCATAACGATAACGCTCCTGAACCTCACCTTTCCGCTTTCCATGTGTTTGACAGCGTCTTCTACCTTGTCGAATGGGAACTTCTCGATCATGCACTTCACGCCCTGTTTCTCCGCAAAGTCAATCGCTTCCTCGCTGTCCAGCGCATGTCCGGATGGCCATCCATGGACCGATTTGCCCTTCATGATCAGGCTCACGGTGTTGACTGGAATATCGCCCACAGGCGCAAGGACGAGAAGTTTGCCCAGAGGTCCAAGTCCATCAACCAGCGGCCCTATGATCTCCGGGTTCGGTGCTGTTACAACGATGAGGCTTGCGCCACCCATCTTCTGTAGTGCCTCGGCGGCGTTTTCTTTCGATGTATCGATGTAGTCGTTTGCGCCGAGCTGGTGGGCAAAGTCTTTTTTGTTGTCCGAAGAGGATACAGCGACTGTGCGGTAGCCCATCTTGCGAGCGTACTGGAGTGCCAGATGACCTAGGCCACCAAGTCCTTGCACGGCGACAGTGTCACCCTGCTGGATGTTCATCTTGCGGATGCCGTTGAACACGGTAACGCCGGCGCAGAGTAGAGGAGCGTATTCGGCGGGGTTGGCATCGGCGGGAATTCGCACTGCAGCCTCGCTGCGGAGAGTACAGTACTCAGCATCTGACATCACTCATGTCAGTCGACCGTCTTGTATGTCTCGATCTTCGCCAATAGAAGGGTAAAACTTACATCCACCGTCCCGACTAACACCGTTAACAAGCTCATTCTCGCACATCTGGAACATTCCCTTATTACACGACTTGCAACTCCCATCATGAGATCCATGCCATCCTCCGCCGACACGGTCTCCAACCTTCCACTTCTTCTCGCCGTCGCCAACCGCGATTACCTTCCCAATGACTTCATGTCCCGGGACGCGAGGGTAGACATCGCCCAAATGGCCCTGTTGCATAAAGCTATCCGAATGACAGATACCGCACGCAAGGACCTTGATCAGAACCTCGCCCGACTTTGGCGCAGAGACGGGGACATCTTTGATCGTCCACGGCGCGCCCTTCTTCTCAATCACGACGGCGCGGCAAGAGGAGGGGATGTCGGATGGAGACATGATGTTGCTTGTTGTACGAGTATGCTGAAATTGAGCAGGTAAAGTGCAGAGATCAAACTTCCTTAAGCGTGGACGCAAGCGCTTGTAGGTGCAGTAGTCAAGACGGTGTTGATCTGTGATGTCAACGAGCTTCGGTACGCGCGACCTAGCCCTATTTTATCTCGCCCTCCGTCATGCATGTATGCATACATCATCGTTATCACCTATCACCGTTCCTTCCTTCCCCGCATCAACCGAACGACTAAACATTTAAATCCCTCCTGGTCGACCACCAAACATACTTCCGCAACGTTCCGTACTACCACCCTGTGCATCCGGCTTAGAAATATAATTCTCAATGTAACAACAACACATGTCGCGACCGTCCATACCTTCCCCAGCTACACCATCACCCCGCGTATGTCCGCGCACGGATTAGTCTGGGCATACTTGCTCGTCGCACACCGATTGGAGATGATGATACGCCCAATGGGCTTTACGCTAACGCCGGCGGGGCAAATATGGTTACTTGGGTGTGATATATATGGTCATGTATGTAGTCAGCTTGTTGCAGCGGTCGAATCCCGCATGATGCTAGATTGGCGCGGGGTTTACGGGTATTAAACGCGTGGTAGGAATGCACAACAGAAAGAGACATGCAACCAGAACTTGGAATATGGAAGGCAGAACGTGTTGGGTATCATTTTAGTGCTGTCTAACCTCCAGTCAAGACTCTTGGAACACCTTACCATGCGTCAAAGTTGCCAAAACCACCAGTCTTAGCTTTCTTCTTGACAGGCGCAACGTCCTCCTCATCGTCCACATATCCAACTATCTCGTCCTCGCCCTGGTTTTGTATCTCCTGTTTCGCAGCCTGGAGATACTTGCCTACGCCGAGACCTTCACCAGTGCCGTTCTCCACAGTGCCATCTGCGCGTATGCGCTTGCCTGTCCATGTTGTCTTGTCGTCCGCTGTGCCGCCTTGCCTCTTGATCTCCTCAGCCTCCAGCTCTTTGTTCTCCTTGTCTTTGCGCTCCTTTTGCCATTCTTCGAACGGGTCTACAAAGACGACTACGTCTAGTATCTCGATATCATCGACAGGTTTGTCCTTCTCGCCTACTTCTGCGATTTCCATAGATCGTAGTGTAGTATCCAGACCACCAACTACTCGTGCGAAGATCGTGTGTTTGCGGTCGAGATGCGGGACGGCGCGGTACGTGATGAAGAACTGGCTCGTGTTGGTGCTCTTGCCCTTGTTCGCCATACTGAGTACGCCTCTGGCGTTATGCCTCTCTGGCCCTTCGAACTCGTCTTCGAATGGCTTGCCCCATATGCTTTGCCCGCCTCTTCCAGTACCTGTTGGGTCACCACCTTGTATCATGAAGCCCTTGATGTTCCTGTGGAAGATTGTGTGGCTGTAGTATCCTTTCTGGGCCAGCTTGACAAAGTTCCATACCGCGCGCGGTGCGTATTCGGGGAGGAGTTCGACGTTAAGATCGCCGAGTGAGGTCGAGATGCGTGCATAACCCTTGTTCTTTATGCGCTTCGGCTTGAGCATGTAGTCTTCGTCGGAAAGGAGGGCGCGTTCGCCAGAGGTATGCGGGGTGACGCCGGTCGAGGTAAAGGACGCAGCAGCTTTACCCGAAGTATATACGGCGGCATTGTATGCTGGTTTCTTGGGCTCGGAGGATGTCGATGCTGCTGTGCCGTTCCTTGGTAGGTTCGCAAGCGCTTTCGACGTGATACCGCTTTGCTCCTTGATCTTCCTATTTTCGCGCGCCTTCGCAACAGCTTCTTTCGCCTTGAGGATCTTCGCAGCGTTGCCCAGCGCCTCTTTGTTCACGCCAGTCTCCGCCTCTGCCACTACTGTGTCTCCATCCTTCACATGCTTGTATGAGCTGAAGTCCCTTGACTCGATGCTTTGAGGGTCCTGAAGCGTAATGATGTCCTTCCGTGTAAACGGGTCATCGCTGACCAGATCTTGCCAATTCTTCGCCTTGATGTTCAGTCTTTCAACTGTGTCCCATGCGAAGACATTGCCACTCTTCCGCAGCGCAACGATGTGGGTGTTATCTGTGAAGACCTTGTATGTAACTGGGTCAACGAATTCGCCGTCTTCGTTCTTGGTGAAGTTCAGCGTAATGAGGTCGGCACGCTTCAAAGGCGTTCCGTCTACGGGGTTCGTGTCGGGGTGTTTCGATAGCCATGTGAGGATATGGGTGAGATCGAAGATGGTGCCCGATAATGTGCACACGGGATCTGTGAAGGGCTGGAGGGAGACGGCGCAGTAGTTGAAGGGAAGGCGCTTGAAGGTCGAGGATAGGCCGGCAGCGGAGGCTCGATTTGCGCTGTTTGCGCCGCGCGCATTACCGAACGCGTCCGAGGATGACCACTCGGAGTGGGTGATGTATAGCTTG